TATCGCATACAACGTCAACGCGACACACGGTTCTTCTTTAATTTTGGCAAGAACATACTTTTTTGCTGATATTTATTATATGTACATTATATATGTGAGAAGATCACTAAAACTGCGTATCGATTAATAAAGTTACCAATTGACGAAAATTTTCAGTAAATTCATTGATGAGTGGGCCGAGTCGTAGAGGGCGGAGTCCGGTGTACTGCTAAATAAAAGTGTATTCACGGGTCTATGTGTGTAATAAATGAAAAGTGTGAAACTAGTATAGGTCCAGTATATGGTGTATAATCCGTGTGATGTGTGCGTAAATTGTGTCGCGAAAAAAGGGGTGGGGTTATCTGGGGCGGGACATGTGGTAGGGCCTATTGTGCCATATATACTCGAAATCCCTGAGATCGGGTAGGCGTGGCCGCATGTTTCAACTTAACCTGAAGGTGTCTATGCTTCTGGTGAGATATTTTCATCTTGACACAATTGTTGTCGTGTCTCTGTCCAACACAGAACAAGATGACAGTTGTCCCAGACTGGAATATTCCACGAGTAACCAGTTCCGTGCCATGTTCAAATGCCACGCCTACTCTGGCTCAGGGATAAGGAGTATACATGCAGTGGGCGCTTCTCGCAAGATTAGGAGAAAAAGCCGTCTGGCGGAAGAATCCCAAAAAAAGGATATTCTTCTCTCCTTATCCCAGCGACGGAATAATCGTGGCATACGAAGGCTTGAAGCCGTGTAATGATCAGGTTCAGTTCAAATACTCCCCCCCTACACTGGTTGGGAGAATAAATAGACGAATAGAGGTCGATCGTCGCCACCTTCACTGAACATCAAACGCCTGGGACAACCTCCCCTTCATTAACGAAGTCGAGCTGCTTCGTGAATTCGGTGGCATCAGGAATGTAAGGCGTTCTCTGATTACTGTTTCGTCAGCCAGTCTTGTCCTGGCCCAGAAATCGACGTTCAGTGGAAGCAACTTGCGAACCCCCTTCGGCCGGCCCGTTCTCCGAAAAAAAAACTAGCAATTTTTTTTGTTCGCACGTCTGCCACTGAATCCTTTCACATTCAATATTCGAGTAGCTATCCGTTCGCTAGCAGTAAGCTCAGCAGAACTCGACTGGGATTTCGATGCAGGTGAGGGCAGGATTGCCCTCAGAGTGACGAGACATGTTTTATCCTGCTCAACAGATGTCCACGTAGACCCGGCGTTGATGTAGATGTCGACTGCAATTACTTTCACGCGAAGCGACGGGGAAGAGATGATATTCTGCACCTTTAAAACCTTTGTGATGGTCGTACACTTCTGCTTGCTTTTTTTTACAACCCTGGTATTTTACAACCCTGGTTTTTTTCTGGTTTCAAGGTCTCACTCCTCTCTTCTACCACTCGAAAACACACTTTCAAGGCCATCAGAACAAAAAACTCCTTAAACTTCGCAAAAAGTGAGAATTACGGTAGCTCTACGAACAAAGAAGATGGTTTCTGTAAAAACTAAAGTGAATCGCGCGTCACGCTCATTTACACGTGCTGCATTTTATTTGCATCTTTGAACTGTATAGTATAGGAGAATTTGAAGTGAATTGTTCAAGCGTCAAAAATTGTGGACAAGAAACCGTCCATCGAATGGTATTTGGTGCAGTCGTACTAACTGCTGACGCTGGGATGCCGGGTTTTCCCAACGCGAGAGCCAGTCCATTCTTCATCGATAAGCGACAACGATCGGTGGAGAAACGAGTTGGCTCCACGTCAGACCCGGACCCTGCGTCTGCAGTGCAAGCTACGCTAGCTACCGTTGATGCTCATCACGTGTCAGCGAGCGTAGGGATTCTTTTGCCGCTGCTGATTTGCTCATTTTCCAGACGTAGTTAGCTATTCCATCGCTTCGCGCCTAGCTAGTTAGGCGAAGAGGTGGAATATGTTAAGTCCATGGAATGCTTCCCTTTTTCAAGAGGCTCCGGTGAGGAAATGCCAAAGCACAGCCATGAGTTTGCAACCGATAGGCGTGGGCGCGGCGCGTTATTGTTGTGGCAGCCGAACTCTATTTTCGCCCATGATGCGCCCAGAGCACGCTTTAGATTGGTGGAAAAGCTGGCCCTACTGGCATCCAGCCACGGATGCTGAAGCTCCAGAGTCCCACCAGTAACTAACTTCGTTTGCCTTAAGATGGGGACTGGGACGTGCCAAGTTAGACATTATCCATCTACTTGGCTCAACATACTGCAGCATTCGTCAATTAGTATCTGATGCAGACACCACGTGTTTTGTGCAACGCAGTCGTCGCCGTTTTGGCTGCAACATGGATTTCTTGCCCAACATCCTTTAAGTTGCAATCGCGGGTTGAGACTGCACTTTCAGCTGAGAGTTATGCTCACTCATGCTCTCAGATAGATGCAATAATGGACTGCGAAGTGGCCTGCTGATTCTCCAATCCATCCGGAGAAATGATCAGTTGTAAATACTCAGACACCTTATCAGCAGCCTTGTCTGGGTACTGTAAGTCTGTCATCATACGACGTTGGGTGATCTTTGCGAGTGATTTATTTCCGTCCCTTGTTGTGATTCCCGTATTGTGCCCTTGAATATATGTTGCAGGGACGCCTTTTCGGGTTACAACGTTCGTGGGATAGTTCGGAGTGATGTCTGGTGCCAGTTTGGTGCTTTATCTATAGCATAGATCCATTCCGCTGGAGTGAAGGG